TTTTTTTTTTTTTTTTTTTTTTTTTTTTTTTTTTACAAGATTCGCCAAACATAACAGACATAAATAAGACTAATACTTTACAAAATTTACATACAATTCGGGCAGGGACTAGCCACAGAGATAATCTCCAATTATGGGGCCCCCAATTATTTGCATACCTGTAACAACTTGTGCGTTTTTACGTGTGTTCTTGCGCGTCTTCTCGTGTGTAAACATGATTGGTTGATCGGATGCTGTTGACAAACATGAAAATTTCACGTGATTAGACAATGTTTTTTATGTGCGAGTGGTCATCGTTAGATGCAAATGACGGTAAAAAATCAAAGCCCATTTATTGAGCTAACATGACGTACACACTCACCCATCAAAACTCAAAAATGTTTTGTTTTTCTTCAGATTTTTCTCTTCAAAAAAGATAATTTTTTGCCTAAAACAACCAATGTCGCATTGTCCAAGCTTAGAAAGTAAGTTAGCAATGTCTCCTTGTAGTAAAGGAAGCGATATACCGAAGAACGGCCAAGATGAAGGGATGGAAAACAGTCAAAATTTTGAGCAAGTTGAAAATGGTTTTGACGTTGTGTTGTCCAGTGACAGTGGCAGTGATGAAGAAATAGACAGTCTAGCTGCTCAGGGATATATATCACTTGCTCAAAATGAAGATGATGTTGTAAACAATGACATTGAACAGGTAATTTATATAGATTGTTTTTTAGCTATTGAATATTAATAGTTATTTATAAATAGCCATATTTACTGAATTTAGAAGTTGTATAACTTGTATTATAAAATCTGCAGTAAAGGTATTATATGGAGGTGAGCCAGCATGGGTACCCGAGGTAGCTCAGTTTGTTGAGCTGTTTTCATCCTGTGTTTACATGAGACTTTTGAGGTGGGCTGGCTTGCCAAAACAACCCACACGGCTCACCGCTATAAATAGTATACCGCTAATAAATATAAATATATTTTCTCACAAACCTGAAATTTGCACTTTTGTGAGCAACTTTCACACCACGGTTCTGTATAACCCATAGAATCATTCACAGGGACCTTTTAAGATCGAAATCTGTTGAGAAAATCTTATTTACAACAATATAATATATTTGCATGAGCAGAGCAATAATGCTCAGCCGGCTTTAATAGGCACATGCGGAGTAACATACAGAGGCTTATCTCGGTGAAAAAACCGTAAGGTGTTTTTTTGGCCGCCATGTTCTTAGCCAGTACCTGCACATGCATAGTCTAGGTAAAAATTAAGACGGCCTCTCTCTATGGACTGGCTAAGAACATGGCACATTTTTTCCAAAAAATCCCTTACGCTAAATTAACCTGAAGTGACACCTCTGTATGAACTTACTCTGTGACTTGCCAACCTGGGTCATTGCATTCCTAGCCTGGTCACCTGAGATTTTGGGTCAGTTGAGGCGGGATCTTGTTAAGGCAGGCGAACAGATTGCAGATGAACTATCTTTTTTTTGCTTGAGTTTGTCCAGCTGATAAAAGGAAGACATTCTATATTTTGATGTAATGTATTTCTTCGAAGGCTGAACAAGAAGCAAGTACAGAGTCTACAGACGATAGTGATGAAAAGCCAACAGTAAATCCTCAGGATTGTGAAGAACACGAAACTGTCGCTGAAGTGTCAACTTCCTCGGCTTTTTCATCAACTCAAAATTCCCAGATGGGGGAAGGTAAGCCTCTACCTATTAAAGCCATCTTTGTTATTGTACTTTGTCCAATGCCAGACAATTTTATGCATGAACGGGACAGTTTGGGGCATTAATAATAGGTTAAAAATTCTCTGTGATTTTCCCTTTTTCATGATACAAAATTAGTGTTGTCTTTTTCAGATGAAATAAATTTAATCAAATCTGTAATGAGGAACATTCAATTGCCGAGCTCCGCAATTCCTGAGTGGGCAAAGAAAATTCCTGAAGATAAGTGGAAGCAGCCACTTGTATCGGCACTTGAACAGAGAACAGATAGAAATAACGCAAATGTAGACACAAAATCTAATACTCAATCACCAAGTAAAACAATGTAACTATTTTGTAATATAACTGCCCCCATTTCGCCTGCTACCCTTGTAGTTTTGTCCCATCAAAGATATTATAGTAAAGTAATATAAATTCAGGCAGTCCTAAGACACTACCTGAATATAGATCTTATTATTATTGACTACAAACTGTGGTTAAGCTATCACAGAAGCAAATTTCATAGAGAGGTTGATAGATGAATGTTGCATTGTCTTTTCATTGTTTGAAAGAATCCCACAGTTTTCCAAGCCATCCAGTCATGATCTGGGTGATCAGAATATTCTATTGTCTTTTCATTGTTTGAAAATCTCACTGTTCTCCATGCCATCCAGTCATGATCCAGTGATCAGAATGTTCCATTGTCTTTTCATTGTCTGAAAATTCCTGTTCTCCATGTCATCCAGTCATGATCCAGTGATCAGAATGTTCCATTGTCTTTTCATTGTTTGAAAATTCCTGTTCTCCATGTCATCCAGTCATGATCCAGTGATCAGAATGTTCCATTGTCTTTTCATTGTTTTGAAAATCTCACTGTTCTCCATACCATCCAGTCATGATCCAGTGATCAGAATGTTGTCTTTTCATTGTTTTGAAAATCTCACTGTTCTCCATACCATCCAGTCATGATCCAGTGATCAGAATGTTGTCTTTTCATTGTTTTGAAAATCTCACTGTTCTCCATGCCATCCAGTCATGATCCAGTGATCAAAATGTTGTCTTTTCATTGTTTTGAAAATCTCACTGTTCTCCATGCCATCCAGTCATGATCCAGTGATCAGAATGTTCCATTGTCTTTTCATTGTTCTGAAAATCCCACTGTTCTCCATACCATCCAGTCATGATCCAGTAATCAGAATGTTCCACTGTTTTGAAAATTCCACTGTTCTCCATGCCATCCAGTCATGATCCAGTGATCAGAATGTTGTCTTTTCATTGTTTTGAAACTCTCACTGTTCTCCATGCCATCCAGTCATGATTTTAATTTGTGACATTGTTGTCAATATGATAAAAAAAAAACCCACAAAAATCTCGTTCACACAAATATAAATTTTCGAATAACAAATTTATTCTTCGTTTAACAATAACTAATTCTAAACATATACAACAAATCTTTCCGTTTTTTTTACAAATTTTAAAATTTATTATACAATTGACATTCTGTATTTGAAGCAAAGACATTTATGCTTTTATGCAGTGGTGGATTTAAAGGGGGGCGGGGTGGGGCAGGGTGCATCCCTGTTGGCCTTGGTCAACAGGGGTGCAAAATTAGATTTATCTTAGAAGTAATTTTAAATGTTTGCAGGTCTTAGACTATTTAGATTAGTTAAGTTTTGGAATTGAAGGCAGCACCTCAGAACCAGTTCAAAATACTAATAACTAAAGTCAAGACCAAATTAATCAAACAAAAATTTTAATTAATAATCTAATATCATGCATAATCTTGTTTGACAATTTAGTACGTTGTCATTAAGTGAATCATTACACAAGCTTAACTATAATACATTGACATTCTGTATTTGAAGCAAAGACATTATTTATGCTTTTATGCAGTGGTGGATTTAAAGGGGGGGGGGTGCATCCCTGTTGGCCTTGGTCGACAGGGGTGCAAAATTAGATTTATCTTAGAAGTAATTTTAAATGTTTGCAGGTCTTAGACTATTTAGATTAGTTAAGTTTTGGAATTGAAGGCAGCACCTCAGAACCAGTTCAAAATACTAATAACTAAAGTCAAGTCAATTTTATCATCAAAGCAATCAATACCAAATTAATCAAACAAAAATTT